ATTGTTTTAAGTTCACTTAAATTAGAAGTTATTTTTTAAAGTCTAATAAATGTTAAAATTGATAGCTCTCAATTATACTGTAATGTTGAATGGCTATAGTCAATGGTTAAATATTGGGGGGGGTGGATTTTATAGAGAAATCAGTATTGGTATCATTGATACTGGCCTTCAATCATAAAAAAAAGATGCCATTAAACAAATATTTAAAAATATACTGTATTTATGTTGTTTGTACATTAATTTGAAGATTGAATGTGAAATTATTGCAATATAAAAGAATATTAAGTTATTAGGTGGGATTAATCGCGGTTAATCATGATTAATTTCAGAAAAATGTGCGATTAATTAGTTTTTTTTTTTTATCGATTGACAGCACTAATTTTAATATGTACACGTCAGAATAAGCATGTTGTTTGAATTTTTACATCCATATTGTGTTACACTGAATGACAATGTAACATTATTTCAACCAAAATGTGACATTTTATTCTCCAAAAACTTATTTGAAACCTTAAAAGTAGACACTTTACTTACATTTAATGTGCTTTCTATGGACATAAAATCACTTTTGTATTTTTATTTTTTTTATGCGGACATCTTAACGTCTTTGACCCACATACATACATACAAAAAGCTACCTATTGTTTGAAATTGACCAGAAATGTTATTTCCAAATGCAGTTACGCAGAATGCAGTTAAACACAATAACTAATGAGATTGTGAAAAGCGTTCTATTTTACTCATATTGCGAAAAGGAGTTTACTTTCTGAAAGGCCAAAAATGCTCATAGTTGAAACAATATCTGTATTTACTAAACGTTCATGAGACGTCAGTGAACATTTTTTGACTGATGATCCTTTCAGTCTGTGTTTTTATAGAGACTATTTAGAATAATTGATTTGCGGAAAGTCATGAGACAAGGTTTCAAATAAGTCCAATAAAGTCAGACAGATATTTACAATGTCATAGACTAGAGAGTGTATTTCTAAAAATCAATATATCACATCACCCTGGTGTCAAACACTGCAAAGATGAGCATGCAGGCTGCTGTAGAATGGAATAGTCTCTCGCAATTGGAAATCGCAAAGCTGTCTCGCAAAGCTCTGGTCTTGTACAGCACATCTGTGTTGAAGTGATGTTCTCTCGTGTTGCTGTCTAGCCTCTGGAGCTGTTGTGGCACTCTCTTGATGAATGGCTGGTCCTCATCTCCACCGAGCTGGATAAGGAGAGCACAGACGCAACAACCTCATCCTCAGGAAATGACATTGCGTCACTCTTCCTGAAAAAGCAGGAGGTCGACCCTTCTGTTTCCAGCGAAAATCCCCCTCTGTTGCTGGACGCCAAGTCAGTGATGAAGACGCCGGAGGGCTACGCCGATGGTCAGGATGTCATCTCTATGATAGCCAATCGCCTGAGCGCTGTGATCCAGGCTTTCTACATGTGCTGTTCCTGTCAGATGCCACACGGGTAAGACTGACCTCAAACTTAAACGTTTCGGTAACACTTCAGTATAGGGACCGATTCTCACTATTAACTAGTTGCTTATTAACATGTGTAAGGGAAACAGGTCAGTTTAGCTCAAAGGGAATTATTTTTGATTTTATAGGGAATTTGAACAGAATCACTGTTTTAAGGCTGATCACTGAGTCAGCCAGCGATTCATTGAACGAGCCGTACAACATCAAATCTGCATGGATATTGATATCCAAAATATAGTGAAAACACTATTAATTAGCACAGTAACAAGATCGGCAGTTTAAGACATTAACTTGTAAGCACAAAACACAAGATACTTCTCTTTTCAATATAAACACGGCTTTATTGGATAAATCTAAGACATGTAAACTAATTTAACACATAAACAAATGCACTCATACATTCACACAAGTTGCATAAAGAGAAAAAGCTCAATGAGGTTAAAATTATATTAAATGCACCAGTTCAGCTAGAATCTGGAGGTACTTGCCTTGCTTGTTTAGGGGGTTCCCTTGTTGTTGTCGTCATTGCAGAACCGGGGTTTCCCAAAGGTGCTGATTGGCTGGAAGTTCAGTAGTCGTTGAAATGATGTCTTGGGAAGCCAATGGTTGGGCGTTGGCTGAAGATGCGGAGTTGTGGGCTGGTTGAAGTTTTGAGGCGGTCACAGACTCGAGGTGAACTCAAAGGCACGGCGTTGCGGCAAAACTTAACTCAGAACACGAAACTCTCAACGGAAAAGAAACTAAAGTAAAAGAAATAAAAGAGTAAAGTTTTGACGAGACTAGGTGGCGTTTCTCCTCATGGTTTTAGAGGAGCTGCTGGTATGCAAGCCAGAGCACGCTGGAACGGCGCTCGAAGAATTCACGGGCAAAAAGCATGGCTAAAAACCCTAATGCAAAAAGCGATGACTAAAAGCATAATTTGGACACATCCCAAATGGTGTCTTGACCAATTAGACATTGTCTTTGCTCGGGGTGTTGCTATGTTTCTCCTCCCAATACATAAATCAACATGTTATCTTATCAGTCACATGGTCTGAATTTTCCCGCTCTTGCAGTGTATAATTTGGGCATGATTTCTATAACAAGAATATAATACATTTTACAAAATACTGATTGATAGAAACGTGTAAAGCATGACAATTCAAACTCATGCATACCCAACATGAATATAATCTTATAAACTATTCAATAGTTATTCAAAATACATGATAGTCAAATGTGTGGGTTACATA